CACGATTGCAACAACTTCCGAAAATCAACCAAGCGCAATCTCAAAAGCAGGCCTGGTCACACATAGACGACGCACGGCCCGCGCATTGAAAATCGGAAAAGGTCGCGGCCCGACTTTTGTCAGGATTTGGGAGAAAGCTACCGAGCTTACACTGAATGTGTAGCGTGTTGCTAGCGCGCTGTGCGTATACATGGCGTGTGCTCCACGTATGTCTGACGTTGGTCTAGCGCGCTCTGCACGGGTCTGGAATCCTGTTGGCGTTTACATTCATGCGTGGAGCTCCGCGCACACTTTTGAGCATGCATACAAAATACCAGCGAATGACGACGAATGCATAGCGTTGGTCCAGCGTTGGTCCAGCGCGCTCGACGAACGAGTAACGAATGATGACGCACACCTAGCGAACGACAACGCACTGGCCCATATTGGCAATTTCCAATGTGCGGGCCGTGCGTCCCCCATGCGTCCCCTATGTGTGACCGGGCCTTAAACCTATTGAAATGTGCGAACATGACAATTACGTTTTACGTAATTCGAAATTGCCCTTGAGTTGATTATTAGAAAAAAAGCTACGATCATGTTATGGGATGTTGCCACGACAACAATTGTGTGACTTCAGTATCTAGCTATGGGTGAAGGTTTACCCCTCCTCCTTCCTCATTGTAAATCCCCAGATGAATATCAATAAAGGTTGCACGAGTCTACAGCATAGGAGATGCCCTAGTTAAAGTTTACCCCTCCCTACCTTATCGTTTCGAGATAATATATTTAAATGCGTATATGATTCAATCAGCTGTGAAGGGGAGCTAAATTTTTGCTCTTACATGTCCGACAATGGAGGCTATAGAGCGCCATCTATTATGTAGCTCAGCAAAATTTGATAATCAATATCGTCTGCATGCGATCATCTTCCCGTAACGGTTCTTTGTCATTCTTTTTCTAGAGATTTGTTATATTCTCTTTCATCATCCCTCCCCCTCTCTCTCTCTCCTTCATTCTCTTTGCATGTTAACCTAGTAACGGATGTCTTTAGGGGCGTATCCATCATTATAAAAGGAAGGAGCCGTTGTACGCCCCACCTCCTTCGTCTAGGACAAGGGGAGCAAGGAACATCCCCAAATTCATAAAAGAATGATAATGACGCTGAATCATTTGAAAAACTGATTGATAAAGATCTAGAATGATAACAGAATTCCACACACACACACCTACACACACACACACACGCACACACACATATATACACACACACTCAAACACGATGAGGTGTGGGGGTGATAACCCAAAGCATCTGAATCGTAGACTTGAGTAAAACATTAATGAAACAGTTGTGTAATAAAATTAAATGATATCAATAATGTGGAAAAATCCATGACTACTTGAATATAGTTCAACATAATAGAATTCTGAGATCAGTTTGGGTTTTATTATACTGTACATGGATTCTTTTCGAGAATAAATATTAATGTCTTCGTTCTTTATGATTACAATAGGTTAATAGTTTAAACGCGCATAATACTACCAGTAAGAAGCTATAGGCTTTACATGGTAATGCAGAATAAGTGTATTCTAAACAAAAATCACAATTACACATATAGCCATGTTTATTGAAATACACCAAACTACAGATTAGGAGCATACACAATATACGAAAAGCATAGATAAATTTAAGGCAAGTTGCATTATTTACATTTAATTACTAAGGGCCTACACGATAACGTATACTATAACCGCGTTATAAATTGTCATGCATTTTTATCATTTTGTATACATGAATGAGGCTGAAATTATCCATCACGGTTAAAATCAACATAATAGATTCCACTATATATAGTTAGTCACATCACATATGAAACAAATAGACCTAAATGTAAATAAAGGACGTACGTCATTATTTATAATCTAATCGATGTAAGCAAAATAATCCGTTTTAGTAAACGATATTTGGCGTTTTAACATTATACCTCTCACACTGAACATGTCTGAAATTAATCAACACGCCACAACAAAAACATCATCAACAAGACAATAACTACACCAACAACATATATTACTACTACTTCTACTACTACTGCTACTACTACTACTACTACTACTACTTCTACTACTACTACTTCTGAAAACTATACTACTACTACTACTACTACTACTACCACTGAAAACTATAATACTACTACTACTGCTACTACTACTACTATAGTACTACTACTGCTATTACTACTACTACCACTACTATTACTACTACTACTGAAAACTATAATACTACTTTTAAATACGATGCTATACTACTATAACTAGTGATAAATTGAGCATTTCGCAGAATGCAGAAATGTCTCGGTGCACGTTTACCATGTTTACAGAAAGTGCAGAAATGCATTCCGAATATTAAGTTTGATGCTTCGTGAATTAACGTAATAATGTTCTTGCATCGAATTTAATGGTTTACAATCAATAGTTAAACTTGAAGAATATAAACGTTTGCTTTGATATTTGACGTCCCTATACATTTATACTTAGTCAGTGATTAATCACTTGCATTGCAAAGACACTCCTTTGTATGGGCACCAATCATTTGGCTACGTTATTTACAAATTATCTACAGACAAAAGTAACAACTCATATGAATATATCAGACAAGACAGTTTCCCTTTCCAAATCAAACTGTTAAATACAAACAAACCTTTTACGTAACACATGCAAGAGTTCATACATAAATAATTATACTGGATAACAAAAGAATACAGCGTTATATCTGTGAAAGAAATGTTGTCTTTATGTATCCTTTTTGCAAGGGCCATGAAGGATACATGACTATTTACATCTCCTTTAATGTCTGGTTGTGGATACATCTTAGATCAATTTACCGTAACACTCTTGTGTTTGTGTGAAATTACATGACAACTGATACTAAAATTATCTTCAATTTGCACATCTGAATGCTAACATCGTTTCTTAGTTAACAATTCAAATATTCGTTTGTTTGTTCTGTGTATACATCCATTTTATTGTTCATTATTCAATTTATTTCCGTTACATTCTATGTTATATAAATTTGCGTTTAAGACCGCCAATTACTGCCATTGCATATGTTTTCTGTCTATAATTATAAAATGTCTTTGTATATGAATACATCCGAATGTTTCATTCAACACAAGCCCTCTCGCTCTGAAAAGACCACGCTGTTTAAAAATAAAACGTAATAAATAGATCATATAAGATGATTGATTCTAATGGCACAGACATCATTTAAAAAATGTTCATTGCACACGAGACAGTGTTGACATTGCATTAATAGATGCGCTAACCGATTGAGGTGATTCAGTTAGGACTACGACGCCCTTAATTCGGAGAAAGGTTTGCACCATTCAATTTGCACTCACTTTGTGTAACGATATCCTCGCACGGTGCGTCAATGCCGCTACGCCAGTCGCTGACGCAGTCATACGCTAGGTAAAGTCCGCATCGTGTGCACTGAGCTCCAATGCAATTATAATAATTAAATTAATTTATATAGCGCAGCCACTATATAAATATACTCTACTCTACACACAAATAATTCTGAACGATAACATATTATTATTGTCATTCCTTGCTCATTTTTCCTGATTGAGGTGTCATATTAAAGGACAGAAACTCTAATTTCTAGAAATTTGATTTTCTCCTTGAAATTCAGATACCGTCCGCCAAATGACTTTTTGGTTTCCTCTCTTCAAATTGATTTCAATCACTCATGCATGACATATGCATCATATGAGTTGCATCAAATGAAAGAGGAGGATCTAAGCTTTCCAAATATGGGCCATTTTAAAATTATAATTGTGGTTAAGTTATGATAAAACATCGATAATTCTCGGTTTCGTTTTTTCTGGGACGCACTGTACAGCCACTATATAAATATACACTATATAAAGCGCTAACCACATGAGTAATTCTGAACGATAACGTATTATCCATTCCATAAGTAGTAATCTAAATTTAAATCAATCTTAGGAGACGCTAGAGTTTATTTACAGCTGAGTAACAAGGCAGGCAACATTGTTGTAGATACTAAGATTAAAGAAGAACTGGTATTTTCAAAAGTCACTTGACTGTAGCGTGAATGACTTTCTGTCCCAAGCCTGATCGGATATTTAGTGTTGGTCTTCCATCCGCCCATGACATTGAACACTCTGATAGATTCTAATTTTGTAGGCAACCATTAACATCCAAATTATTATTTTATCCGATTCCCTTCACAATGAAAGCTCACATCAATTCATCAACTTATTCACAGACGTCCCAACTATGAAGGTTTGTCAAATGTCCATGATTAACTAAGCAGGCTCTTCTTCCTTGAGAACACATTTTAATGTCATTATACATATATATGTTTAAAGGCCCCTATCAGGGACTTGCAAGCCATCAAAAATTTATCTCAAACTTTATCTGTAGCAGCCATTTTGTAAAATTGTGTGCAAAATTTAACATCAAAAGACTTGACAATTTTTTTTCTATCTATAAGGGAAATTTGGGGGCCCTCATTTTGTACACAACAAATGTTTTGAATGAAACACTGCCAGTTGCAAATTTCAAATTAGAAAAGAAAATGACTGTATCTTTTCACATAATAAAAGTTTTGCCACCATACGCTCGGGAAAAATGTTACAACATTTTGGCCCTTTTACAATAAAAATAAATAAATAAAGTGTAAATTCTTCCTGAATCCAGAACTACTTAATGATACTGAGAATAACAGTTCCAAGGGAATTCAAAATTATGATTTCTTCAATAAAAGAAAAAGAACCACGAAACCAATGTAAAGAATGCCCATCGAGGAGGCTCAGTCGGTAGAGCAGTGGTCTCGTAATCCGGTGACCCAGGTTCGAAACCAAGTCAATGCGCTATAGTGCCCTTTGGTAAGGCATTCATGCTCATTACCAGGTCCCTCGGATAGGACTTAAAGCCGTCGGTCTTCTGGGTGCTTACTAACAAGCATTTATTGCTTTTTTAGTCAGGTAAAATAACCACCACTATCACCACTATCCCATTCCATATAATATTGAATGGATATCAACGTGATTCATTGGTGAGTAACTCGATTGAATGACAGTTGTATTTGTAATACCCAAAGTCTGATCTTCAAATTAAACGTATTATATGATATGCCTATAATGGTGTGTTTTATGTACTCTTTATAGTTCCTGTCGGCGAGCAAAGATCGTCTGATCCCTCTGATTCGTCAGATCGAGTACGGTGTCATCTGTTTGATAACTCAATATCAATGACGAAAATATTTACTAAAGCGAATGAGAAAGAGAGGGAGAGAGAGAAAGAGAGATGATATAATAGAAGCGGAGCTACATTTAAATAATCACAAACACACATCAGTTAACAGAGGAAAAAGGAGAGCTATTGAATATTACACAGCTTTACGTCAAACAGCACCATTTGAACTAACATGTTATCTACTACGTATAAAACATAATAGTTAAAAAATGCGAGAATCTATTAAATATTAATAGGTCTACACGTTATCATGTTAAAAAAAAAATACCTTTACTTTATCACTTCTAGAATCCGGCATATATTTTTCCAATAGGCACATTGGAATATTCATTATTACCCATTTCCAATAGAATATTATTTGTGTCTACACGCCTTTGTCGACTCTTTGTTACATTTTGCACGGATTGGTTCATGTGAGATCATGAGTGGTACATAACGTCAGTTCGTATTATCGATAAATATACAAATACAAAAATGAACATAAGAACACAAAACATATTTCTGTAATGAGAAACAATTCTTCATCCCCCTCCCCTTCTCCCGAGACAGGAAATAACTACATGATTGTATTAATATTTAAGATAATTTTGTTTTCTATTTCTGTTTATCAAAATACAAGCAGGGTGTTTTGAGCAGACCTCGCGTCTGAATGAATATCAGAAACGACTGGCTTGGGCACGCGTGCTAGTCTCCCACTAATTCTAACACTAGACCTCCTTTTTGCTGCATTCTAGTCAGCCAGTAAGTCGTTGAATTTAGCAAAAGAGGAAGGCGGCTTTTTTGCACACCCTCCGTGAGATGAACAAAATACCTGTGATCGTGCGTACGATACACACACACTGATCATCGCAGAGGGTTTCAGAGACATGCAGCCATAAATAAATGTTATGCAGTCATGAAAGGCTGTGCAATGCTAGAAGTTAAAGTTCTAAGGACTTACCCACGTGGTTTGCCATGCTCCACCTCCACCTCCATGACCTGATCTTCATTGCACGCAGTGGTGACATCATCCATGCTCTCATCTGTCCCGCATCTTATGAATCTACCAGTATATAGATAGACGGAATATAGCATTATCTAGGGATGGGGGCATGTTACCGGAGTAAACAATGTTTGTAATATAGCTGTTTATAATGATGTAACTTTCTATCTCATTTGTTTTATCATGTAGCCCCTCAATTTGTAGAAAAACCGTAATGCATGGTAAAGATGAGCAGAGCTATTCATCCTTAGTATTTAGGCCTACTCATGTTGGTATTTATGTTTTTTCATCTTTGAATTCAAATCGATTCCAATTATAATAAATCAAACATTGAGAGAGAGAGAGAGAGAGAGAAAAAAAAAGAGAGAGAAAGAGAAAGAGAGAGAGAGAGAGAGTGGGAGAATAAACTTTTATTTTCTTCAATTTCCAGATGGGGAGTGGAGAATTAAAAGGAGAAGAGTGTCAAAATGCTCTTTGAAAAAAGCACAGTGCGTCTTACCTGATAGTCTTCAGATGTTTGAGGTTGTGAGGTGATCTGAAAGCTTGTAAGACTAGTTCCATCTTACTGTTGCCAATGACAAGATCGCTGAATATCACCTTGACAAGCTGAGGGGAGATATTCAGGAAGGCATAGGGTAGTGAAGTGGGCTCCTCATGTAAACCAGCCGGTTGACCTGCACACTCGTATGTTCGAATGGTGAGTTCTGTTGCTCCTGGTAGATGGATCCTCTGGATGACTGCACAGTTGATCGTGCTCCGTACCTGTATAGTGACCCTCTTTACATTGTCAAACATCGAACCACAATCATGCCATTCTTGTAGTGTGTATTCATCCACTGTCAGCTCAGTCAGGGTGGAGCTCGTGTTAGTACTCTGGTCGTCCTCCAGTACAGACTAATGAATTCAAGTGAATAGCAAGCTAGAGAATGAGGTATGATTGCCGGTATATGCACATTATTTTATCCATTTTGAAAATGGATTACGCTTGTCTCAAAATATTTGGTAGGGAATATAAACAACGATAACAAATAGACCGATTGGATATGAAAAGTCTGTTGAATAAATTGTTTAAATTACATGTTGTGCACTCCGTAAACTAATGGGGTGCATTTACCACCCTCTCCCGGTTCAAGGAGTAACGTTAAAGGTGAGCACTCCATCATTTGTTTTCGTTTGGGGATTCTTTGAGGCATTTGTATACTACTACTTAGTCTATTAGAAAGAAAGGCAAAAAGGAAACTATGAAAATATTTAGAAGGTATCCTACCAGGATAAAAGCGCGTCCGATATGGATTTCATTACATTAAAGAAAAGCCACACAGGGCAAACGCCCCCTCCTTTTCAAAATTCAATCTGGCAAATATGCAGTTCACATCGATTCTAGGCACCACCCCCCCCCCTGCGTAATACGATGACTCTTTACATTTTTTGTTTCTATTCATTTTTTTTCTTCAGAATGTGCCAACGTCCCTACCTTGAGAATCCTCGATCCTATTCTGGATTAGAAGTGACTTGGGTCGTTTCAGAATCCAAGAAGAAAAAGATAGTTGAAGAACACGATCGCAACTACTTTCGAAAAATGCAACGTTAATACCTTATTGGTTATTCCATAGAAATCATGTCCGGACTATGCAAAATACCTCTTGTAATATTCGTAAACTTTAAAAGGTAACGGCCAAGGCCATTAAAATTGCCTCTAATAGGTTGATTTTTCAAAAGGAGTTTTCAACAGTGTTGGAGTTAAAATTACCTTGCACTCAACCTCTATTCGACGCCTGAAAAGTAAGGGCGAAGCTAGGATTTTATTTTAGGGGGGGGGGGGGGGGTCGTGAAGAGCGCGAAAAGTGCGCTCCCTAAGGAGGTGGGGGGGGGGGGAATTGGAAGCTTTGACGTTTCATTAAATTATTAGAGAAAGAAGACGATTCGTTGTACCGAACTCGACTCTTAATCCACGTCTGAATTCACCCCCACGCCAAGCGCGGAAGCTCCTACGTTTCACTAAATTGTTAGATAAAGAAGACGATTCGTTGTACCGGTCTCGACTCTTAATCCTTGTCTGTATTTAAAATGTTTCTTTGTCTGTTCCTTTTTCTTCCTACGTCTTCTTACTTTTTTTCTCTTCTCTCTCTCTCTTTTTGGCCGGCGTTTTTTTTTTTTTTGGGGGGGGGGGCGGAGGGGGGGGGGGGGGGGGGTCCACTGCCCCCTGGCTACGCGCCTGATGAGAAGGACAATGACGGGAAAATTGTTGTTCCTTTCACCTGCTTCTCATCAATGTACCGTTTTTGACGGTTTATTAGATTATTAGAGAAAGAAGACGATTTGTTGTACCGTTCTCGACTCTTATTCCTCGTCTCAATTCAATTTCTGCCCATCCCGAGCGAAGCGCGGAAGCTCTCACGTTTCATTTAATTATAAGAGAAAGAGGACGATTCGTTGTACCGTTCTCGACTCTTAATTATTGTCTGAATTCAGTTTCCTTCGGAAGCTTTGTCGTTTTTATTAAATTATCAGAGATAGAAGACGATTCGTTGTACCGTTCTCGAATCTTAATCCTTGTCTGAATTCAGTTTCCGCCCAACCCGCGAGAAGCGCGGAAGCTTTAACGTTTCATTAAATTATAAGAGAAAGAAGACGATTAGTTGTACCGGTCCCGACTCTTAATCCTTGTCTGAATTCAGTTCCCCCCCCCAACTCCCGCACGAAGAGCGGAAGTTCTCACGTTTCATTAAATCATTAGAGAAAGAAGACGATTCGTTGTACCGTTCTCGACTCTTAATCCTTGTCTGAATTCAGTTTCCCTTCGGAAGCTTTGACGTTTTTATTAAATTACTAGAGAAAGAAGACAATTCGTTGTATCGTTCTCGAATCTTAATTCTCGTCTGAATTTAGTTTCCGCCAACCTTTGACCTTTCATTAAATTATAAGAGAACGAAGACGATTCGTTGTATCGTTCTCGAATCTTAATTCTCGTCTGAATTTAGTTTCCGCCAACCTTTGACCTTTCATTAAATTATAAGAAAACGAAGACGATTCGTTGTACCGTTCTCGACTCTTAATCCTTGTCTGAATTCAGTCCCCCCCCCCCCCCCCCCTCCCGCGCGAAGCGCGAAAGCTCTAACGTTTCATTAAATTATTAGAGAAAAAAGACAATTCGTTGTACCGGTCTCGACTCTTAATCCTTGTCTTAATTTTCAATAATGTTTCTTTGTCTATTCCTTTTTCTTCCTACGTCTTCTTCTTTTTTTATCTTCTCTCTCTCTCTTTTTTTGTCCGGCGTTTTTTTGCTGTTGGATCCACTGCCCCACCAGGCTACGCGCCTGCTGAGAAGGACAATGACTGGAGAGCATCGGTTCACGAAGGAAAATAATTATTTTTGATTGGAATTCTAAAGTTTCCGGGAAAAAAAGTAATATTGACTCCCTTCCACTACAGACAATGCTGGATCCCCTGGTCGTCTGGTCTGATATTATGCATAGCACAAAAAACAAGAAAATCTGACAATACTGACCTTGTAAAATAATACAAAATATTAATATAACGATCCTCACCTTTCCCTAATTTCTGAAATATTCCCCTTTTCTTGGAGATTTTTTTAAGAACAATTTTTACATGTGATAAACGCAGTTCAGCGTGTGATATTTCCTCTATTGTTTACACCTTCTTCTGAAAGCAACAATCCACTGTACCTGCTGTGCACATGCCCCTGAAGATGTAGCATTATATAGATGAGACTTTGATCTAGATTTCCTCCAACGCTTCACACCAGGTATGTTGCTGACGAAATGACCCAGTCTGCTTGATGCTGATGACTGTCGCCTAAGATCTGTATCATCTATACCAGGGACATCAACCTGTCATAGAAAACCACACAATCATGGAACTTGGTGTTATTTTGTTTAAAGAAATTATTGGTACACGCCCAAGTTAAGAGATATGCATTAAACGAAAGAATAGTACTTGGAATGACTTGTTGAAATATATGAAGCGTACGTGAAATTAACCAAATAGGAAATGCGTAACAAATCTTTATTTTTGTACTGACTAGGCTATTAAAACAAATACATTATTGCTCATAAGGTTGGAATATTTTTTTACCCCAATTTATGGAATTATTTTAACAATGATTTATTCCTAATAGATCTAAAAAATAGTATACATTCTCAGATTTTATTGAATAATAATTTGCCAGGGTTTGTTTTGCATAAATGCTAAAGCATGTGTATGCTACTATGCTTATCATCTAGCGGACCTATGCCTTTAAGTCATAAATGATAGTAATTAGGATTAATGCCCCACAAAAGGGCACTAATATAGCACATCGACACGGTTTTGATCCTGGGGGTCTCACAGTTACGAGGCCATTGCTTTGCCACTGAACCATGAATGCACGGTAGGGGGTAGTTCCCACAAGTAAAAAAATTACAAAGAAAATGCAATAAATTATCAATAATTAATTGCATTTTATCACATAACGTAACCCCATAATAACATAACGGATTTTAAGTCGTAATCTGTTATAATAGTAACATTGTATTGGATAAACAATTGCTGACATTACGCAACTTAAAAAATATGTTTACACTTTAGATCATGATACAAGTGCCTTCCTCATAAAAAAAAATACAAAATATAACATAGAAGGTCTACTTTGAAAGAACTAATTTTTAAAAATAGAAAAGTGTAACAACAAATATCCATGAAACACTTTGCAGTTTACAAAAAGGTTACATAATCGATACAAACGGGGACGAAGAGATTCGATTATATAATTTTGTCTCTTCAGTATTCAAAATTGAAATGCCGTAGCACTCCGAATTGTCATATGGAATGAATAGAAGGTATATATTATTCACTATCAATCTCATAATATTCAGTCTTTTTTGTTTTGTGACAGAAAGTTCAGTTTTTGCATCCACTTCCTGAAACGATCAACTTTTCCTATACCTGCTTCCTCTTAACGAATGACCAATAGAAAAGTTAAATTGTACACTTACATTTGACTATATAGGGAAGAGTACACTTCCTGTATAACAAAGCATGTAGTGATTTGTTACGAGTCCTACAATTTAAGATCATATCAATACCTTTGCAGATGATGCCATCGACGAACATTTTGAGTAGAAGTCATTGTGGTACTGACCGCCAAGTGTCAGGTCCTTCAAATGAGTCATGTTACATATGAACTGAGCGAGATCACGTGATGCAGAGGGAAGTTCCCTGAGATCCCAATCAGGGATGTTAAGAATCTCAATCTGTTGTGATATTAACATTATGTTGAATGTAACTAATAACAACCCATTACAAATATATTCAAAATTCAGCAATATGTTTTTAATTATATAAATAACGTTGCCACAACTAACACATCTTAACACATTCACATTGTATTTTTAAATGAGCTACAAGTCTTGACACCTGAAATTAGCACGCATTTGAATAGTTCCTGGATTCTTTTCAGACGGATATAATGCATAATGGTGTTAGATAAATGATAGGTAATGGTAAAGGTGATCATTAGTTTTTTTCTTTGCGGCAATCGGGACTGTGGGCATTACGGATAAAGAAAATTATATTTTCTAGATCATATTGATCCGTTGAGAGAGAGAGAGGGAGTAGTGGTTAAATATGAATGAAAGACGTGGCTCATGATCTTAAGACTTACAGAACAAAAAACAATAAGACAAAACGGTCGTAAATCATTCCTTAATCACACTACCCTTGAAGAAAAAACTTGAGCTTTATTCCGGGGAGAAGCTTTTTACCGTCATTATGTTATCGACGAAATAATAGTTGTGGAGACATGATTGTCAGAAAAAAGGGAATCCCTTCCTCCTGCATATGATCCGGTAATCTTACTGACCCTACTATATTTTCACGTCTGAATGATCGAGGGGGGGGGGGGGTGGGATGATTCACATATCGGATGTAAAATCTTAATCTGGTATAATAGTAACATAATGTTGGATATACAGTTGCTGACACTGCACTACTTACAAATATTGTTAAATATTACATCATAATGAAATTGCCAACCTCATTCATTGACAAAAGCAATATGTCATTCTGACATTTGATTGAAAAATTACTGTGAAAAACCTAATTTAAGACTTGGCAGATTTTAACATGTTACATATTCGAAATAACGGGGAATAAGAGGTTCACTTTACATTTTTGTAGGCTTTTAAATTCAAGTATTTAGTCCCATTAGTATTCACAATTGATATAGCCGTTTATCCATCAGCAATTCCGCAGCACTCCCAATTGTCATTTGAAATGAGAAAAATGGTATATATTATTCACTATCAATCTTCAGTCTTCTTTTGTTTGATGACGGAAATTTTACTTTTTGTATCCACTTCCTGAATCGCTTCTTTTCCTACCTGCTTCCTCTCAACTGTGTACCAATTACGATAGTAAAAGAGTCCACTTCAGTGTAATTATACAGAAAAGGGTACACTTCAAGTATACAAAATATGTAGTGAATTTCTGAGATTTCTAACATATATGACCGAACCAATACCTTTGCTGATGATGCCATCGCCGATGATGTTGAGTAGAAGTCATCGTGACAGGAACCACTGAATGTCAGGTTCTTCAGATGAGGCAGCTTACAGATGAACTGAGCGAGATAACGTGATGCATCGGGACGATAACTGAGTCTACCCGAGCGGATGTACAGAGTCTCAATCTGTTGTAATAGTACGACATCATGTTAGATAAACCATTGCCGACATTAATATACTGAGTTATATCTTACATCACATGATGATACAGTCGCCCATCCTCATTCAATTACAAAAGCAATACGTTACATTTACAATCTATTTGCTAGAGATATTACTTTGAAAATCTTTATTTCATAATAACGTAAAACAAATTAATGTGTGAAAATAGACTCAGAATATTTGGCAGTTTCCGATGGAAAACACAATCACAACAACGGGAACAAAATGATTCGATTTGTCATTTTGTAGGTTTTAAATTCATATATTTTGTATCATGAGCAATTCTTAATTAAAATAGCCGTCACTCCATCAGGCACTTCCATAGGAGGTGGGGGGCGGTCCACATATTGAATGTCCAAAGTCCCAATCTGATATAATTGTAGTATTTTGTTGGAAAAACAATTGCTGACATTACTCGACTTAAACATATTTCCGAACTTTACATCTTGATACAGTTGCCATCCTCATTCATTTACAAAGCAAAACGTCATACTGACATTTGATTGAAATAGTTCTTTAAAAATCTAATTTTGCGTAACATAACATCAGCATTCGAAATTACAATGGACGTCTCTCCATCATAATTCCTGTAGCCTTCCTAATTGTTATATGGAATTTAAAAAATGGTATATATTATTTTGTTCACCATCAATGTTAAAATCTGCAGTCTGTTTTTGTATTATGACAGAATGTTCACTTTCTCTACCTGTTTTCTCTTAACGGTGTACCAATTCCGAGGGTAAAATTGTCCACTTCCGTGCGACTATATCGAAAAGAGTTCACTTCCAGTATAACAAATAGGTAATGATTTTGTTAGAGTGCTAAAGTATATGGGCGAATCAATACCTTTGCAGATGATGCCATCTCCGATGATGTTGAGTAGAAGTCATCGTGACAGAAACCCTCAAGTATTAGGTTCTTCAGATGAGGCATCCTACAGATGAACTGAGCGAAATCACGTGATACATTGTCACGATAACTGAGTCTACCCGAGCGGATGTCCAGAGTTTCAATCTGTTGTAATAATACGACATGATGTTGGATAAACAATTGCTGACATTAATATACTGAAGTATATCTAACATTACATGATGATACAGTCGCAAACCTCATTCACTTACAAAAGCAATACGTTACATTTACAATCTATTTGCTAGAGATATTACTTTGAAAATCTTTATGTCATAATATTGTAACACAAATGTGTGAAAACAGACTCAGAATATTTGGCAGTTTCCAATGCAAAACACAATCACAACAACGGGAACGAAATGATTCGATTTGTCATTTTGTAGGTTTTACATTCATATATTTTGTACCATGAGCAATTCTTAATTAAAATAGCCGTCACTTCATCAACACTTCCATTAAGGGGTGGGGGGCGGTCCACATATTGAGTGTCCAAAGTCCCAATCTCATAAAATTGAAGTATTTTGTTGGAAAAACAATTGCTGACATTACTCGACTTGAACATGTTTTTACACTTTACATCTTGATACAGTTGCCATCATCACTCATTCACAAAGCAAAACGTCATTCTGAAATTTGATTGCAAAAGTACTTTGACAATCTGATTTTACATAACATAAAAGTGTGAAAACAAATAAATATTGAACTTTTTGCGGTTTCCAAAGGGATAGAAGAGACGAAGAGATTCAATTTTTTTTCATTTTTGTAGGTTTTTAAATTAAAATATTTAGTCTCATCAGCATTCACAATTTAAATGGACGTCTCTCCAGTAGCATTCCCGTAGCATTCCGAATTGTCATATGAAATGAAAAATATGGTATATATTAATCGTTATCAATCTGATAATCTTCAGGATGTTTTTGCATTATGACAGAAAGTTTATTTTTCGCTTCCACGTCCATAATTATTGAACTTTTCCTATCTGCTTTCTCTCAACTGTGTACCAATTGTGAGAGTAAAAATATCCACTTGAGTGTGACTATACAGAAAAAGATACACTTTCAGTATTTGAATATAAAGTGATTTTCTTAGAGTCCTAAAATATACGATCAAATCAATACCTTTACTGATGATGCCATCTCCGATGATGTTGAGTAGAATTCATCGTGACAGGAACCCCAGAATGTCAGGTTCTTCAGATGAGGCATCTTACAGATGAACTGAGCGAGATCACGTGATGCATTGGGACGTTTACTGAGATCACTAGGGCGGATGTCCAGAGTCTCAATCTGTTGTATTAGTGCGACATCATGATGAATAATTAATTGCCGACATTACTATACTGAATTATATCTTACATTACATGATGATACAGTCGCCATCCTCATTCACTTACAAAAGCAATACGTTACCTTAACAAATTATTTGATAGAGATAGTACTTTGAAAATTGTATTTAAAAAAAGGTAACACAATTCTGTTAAAAATAGAACCAGAACATTTGGCAGTTTTCAATGGAAAACACAATCAAAACAACGGGGAAGAAGAGATTCGATTTTTCCTTTTGTAGGTTTTGAATTTATATTAGTATTATTATTATAAATTAATACATTTAGTATCATCAGCAATTCTTAATCAAAAAAGCCGTCACTCCATCAGCACTTCCATGGGGGGGGGGGGGGGGGGGGTATACATATTGAGTGTCCAAAGTCCTAATCTGATATACACAGTGTGTTTTTGCGAATAGACTGTCACTGAACTTGGACAAAACTAATTTCATATAATTTAGCAATTCAATATCTGATTTACCAGGAGATATCTATTTCAACAATGTTAAAAAGAAAGTAAAATCGACCAAGTTTCTTGGCCTGTTTATCGATGATAAAATGTCCTGGAAAATACATACCAATTATTTGTGTTCATTACTATCAAGAAATGCTGGTGTGATATACAAACTAAAACCTATGTTCCCATCATATGTATTGCAAATGTTGTACTCCACTTTAATGTTGCCCTACTTGAACTATGGTATTCTTGCCTGGGGTAGTTCATTGAAACTTCAACTGGACAAAATCCTGGTTGTTCAAAAAAGAGCAATACGAACAATTTGCAATGTACCTATTCGTACTCACTCAAGCCCTCTTGTCTTTAATACTAAAGTACTGAGAGTTCGGGATAATTTAATGTACAATTAGGCTGCCTCATGTTTCAGCTGAATAACAACGAACTGCCCCAGGCACTATCTTATTTGTTTAAGAAAAGAAATCAAGTCCACGAATATCCTACCCGAGAGGCGTTTTCCTATCACCTTCCTAGAACGGGAACACGCTTTGCTCAAAATACATTAATATATACAGGTCCTAAGTTCTGGAATTCTCTCGATTCTATGATTAAAAGGTCTGTTAGTGTACATGTATTCAGAAGAAAATTGAAAAGTTATTATTTAAATACATATTGTCATTCCTGATTCCTGACTATTCTTGTCTCCAAGCTGTATACTTTTGTTCATTACAATGAGTAACTAACGGTATGAACATACCAACTATGCTTATAATATACTCATATCGAGAACAAACTATATTGTAATATTGTTTCAAAACGCTGCAGATATATTCCCTTCCCTTTTCCTTGTCTTTTGTAGTTAATTGTGAGTATCGGTTCATGTATCCATGTAATCTCCCTTTCCCTGTTTTAGCGTGTATTTGTATTTTATAAGCTTTACTTTAGTTAATTATGTCATTTGTAGTTTAACTCTTTATGCGCCACTTAAAAAACCCCCCTGTGCCACATTCTTTTAGGGTCACACATTTCGAGGGAATCTTTATTGACTCTGCTGAATCAAGAGGCTATAACTCTTCACTGGATGATCATGATGAAAAATATTGTGCAGCAAAGTTGTAGACCGGAAAACGTGCTTTTCGATGAACCGTCATTTGTTATATTTTGAATTATCATTTTTATAATAATCATAATTATATAATGTTTAATTTTTCTTATTTACGGCAGTTTTTTATCCCTCTAGAATTTCTTATTTAGCAATGATAAGACATCTTCAAATCGAATCTATTAGAAAGGTGGACTTCTTACCTTTCTTTACATACCTTGCTCAAGTATTCTAACAATTCAGAAGGTTAGTATTTAGGTTGTTGAAGAAAAGAAGTTCAATAGGGAGAGACTTGAAAGTACCCCGCTCAGCCACCCTTGACAATGGGCTAATCTGCCCATTGAAATCCCTATTACCCCAGGTTATTGTCAATGTCCGGTTTAGCGGGGCATGAAAAGGGACGTCGTGGGGATGTTTTTCTTTGTTGTGCCATGATAAGTCAATAAGAAATAAGAGAATGTTATTGATTTTGCCCACTGGTATGAGCATGTAAAAATGGTATAGGCATAATATATTATATGTGATATACATGACATAATCAGCATCTTATTGAAATGTCTCATTATGAATGTTCACCGCATCTGTTCTCTCACCTTCTTTACCCCTCAATAAAATTGATTTCAAGTACATTTATCACAGCCATAGATATACAAAGAAAGAATGAATCAATCTTAAAATATAAACTATATTGCATTGTTTTCCATTTACTTTATTGTGAGAGAGCTTATTATCAGAAATGATTGACGAGTGGAGTATGCAATGAATAAAATATGGAGAACGGACGTGAGAGACATTATGAGAGAGAAATAGTGATATGAAATGAAAGGACTTTACTGTGAATAAAGATTATAAGAGAAAGAGATAAAGATGACGGCAAGACAGGATACATATTGATACGAAAATAACAATAATAATGAGATAGAGATGACGGAAAGAAAGAGAGTAAACACTGATAGCATAAGAATGAATAAAGATAATAAGAGAAAGATATAGAGATGACGGCAAGACATAGGGTACATATAGATAGGAAAATGATAATAATAATAAGATAGAGATGACGGAAAGAAAGAGAGTAAACACTGATAGCATAAGAATGAATAAAGATAATAAGAGAAAGATATAGAGATGACGGCAAGACATAGGGTACATATAGATAGGAAAATGATAATAATAAAAAGATAGAGATGACGGAAAGAAAGAGAGTAAACACTGATAGCACAAGAATGAATAAAGATAATAAGAGAAATATATAGAGATGACGGCAAGACATAGGATACATATTGATAGGAAAATAATAATAATAATAAGATAGAGATGACGGCAAGAAAGAGAGTAAACACTGATAGCATAAGAATGAATAAAGATAATAAGAGAAAGATATACAGATGACGGCAAGACATAGGGTACATATAGATAGGAAAATGATAATAATAATAAGATAGAGATGACGGCAAGAAAGAGAGTAAACACTGATAGCATAAGAATGAATAAAGATAATAAGAGAAAGATATAGAGATGACGGCAAGACATAGGGTACATAATTATAGATAGGAAAATGATAATAATAATAAGATAGAGATGACGGAAAGAAAGAGAGTAAACACTGATAGCATAAGAATGAATAAAGATAATAAGAGAAAGATATACAGATGACGGCAAGACATAGGGTACATATAGATAGGAAAATGATAATAATAATGAGATAGAGATGACGGCAAGAAAGAGAGTATTACACTCATAGCATAATAATGAATAAAGATAATAAGAAAAAGATATACAGATGACGGCAAGACATAGGGTACATATAGATAGGAAAATGATAATAATAATAAGATAGAGATGACGGAAAGAAAGAGAGTAAACACTGATAGCATAAGAATGAATAAAGATAATAAAAGAAAGATATAAAGATGACGGCAAGACAGGATACATCTTTCTTTCATTAGTTTTATTCATTCTTATTCTATCACTGTCTACTCTCTTTCTTGCTGTCATCTCTAGCTCTTTCATTAATTTTTATTCATTCTTATTCTATCAGTCTACTCTCTTTCTTGCTGTCATCTCTATCTCTTTCTTTCATTATTTTTATTCATTCTTATTCTATCACTGTCTACTCTCTTTCTTGCTGTCATCTCTATCTCCTTCTTTCATTTTTTTTATTCATTCTTATTCTATCAGTCTACTCTCTTTCTTGCTGTCATCTCTAGCTCTTTCATTAATTTTTATTCATTCTTATTCTATCAGTCTACTCTCAGGGAACACTTTTATCACTAGAGTCTTCGTCACTGCTCGATTCGTCGGAATCAGAGTCCATGCTCCATGCTTCCATAGTAACAAGATCTCGAGCCTCCTCTACACTAAACACACGTTGACGTTTTCCAGCAGGTGCCATCGTAACATCAGTAAAAAAAATCCAAAGAAAACCGCTAAATACACGGTAATTTCGAATGTAACACTATGAAGAAAAACAGTTTACCGGAAAGTGTGCGATGTATACAATGTAAACAATAGTAAACGCAACGCGTGGCTACACACTGCGAGCGGTATTATGAATGTCTAATTGACTCGTATACATCTGTGCAAAAATGCGAAGTTGGCACGCCTACGTCCGTGCAAATCGGCGAACAAAGCAAACAAAGAGTTAAGGGGCCTACCCACAACAAGCTCTGCTTTTCCATAGGCTCCGCCACTATATCTCTTAAGTTCAACTTAATGGACAATATTCCGAATTGTGTGTACCGGTATTGTATGTACATGTATGTTATAATCATTTTCAATATGTTGTTACACTCTTTGTAAAATGAGATATCGTGGAAACCAATAAACTATCTATCTATCTATTTATCTATCTATATAGGCCTAGTTGTAATATTACGTTTAAAAAAACAATTGCTGACATTACACGCCTTGAACATATTTCCGAACTTTACATCTTGATACAGTTGCCATCCTCATTCATTTACAAAGCAAAACGTCATACTGACATTTGATTGAAATAGTTCTTTAAAAATCTAATCTTACGTAACATAACATCAGCATTCGAAATTACAATGGACGTCTCTCCATCATAATTCCTGTAGCATTCCTAATTGTCATATGGAAATAAAAAAAATGGTATATATTATTTTGTTCACCATCAATGTTAAAATCTGCAGTCTGTTTTTGTATTATGACAGAATGTTCACTCTCTCTACCTGTTTTCTCTTAACGGTGTACCAATTCCGAGGGTAAAATTGTCCACTTCCGTGCGACTATATCGAACAGAGTTCACTTCCAGTATAACAAATAAGTAATGATTTTGTTAGAGTGCTAAAGTATATGGGCGAATCAATACCTTTGCAGATGATGCCATCTCCGATGATGTTGAGTAGAAGTCATCGTGACAGAAACCATCGAGTGCCAGGTTCTTCAGATGAGGCATCCTACAGATGAACTGAGCGAAATCACGTGATACATTGGCACGATAACAAAGTCTACCCGAGCGGATGTCCAGAGTTCCAATCTGTTGTAATAATACGACATGATGTTGGATAAACAATTGCTGACATTAATATACTGAAGTATATCTAACATTACCTGATGATACAGTCGCTAACCTCATTCACTTACAAAAGCAATACGTTACATTTACAATCTATTTGCTAGAGATATTACTTTGAAAATCTTTATTTCATAATAACGTAACACAAATGTGTGAAAACAGACTCAGAATATTTGGCAGTTTCCAATGGAAAACATAATCACAACAACGGGAACAAAATGATTCGATTTGTCATTGTGTAGGTTTTAAATTCATATATTTTGTATCATGAGCAATTCTTAATTAAAATAGCCGTCACTCCATCAGCACTTCCATAGGGGGTGGGGGCGGTCTACATATTGAGTGTCCAAAGTCCCAATCTGATATAATTGTAGTATTTTGTTGGAAAAACAAATGCTGACATTACTCGACTTGAATATGTTTTTACACTTTATATCTTGATACAGTTGCCATCATCATTCATTCACAAAGCAAAACGTCATTCTGAAATTTGATTGCAAAAGTACTTTGACAATCTGATTTTACATAACATAAAAGTGTGAAAACAAATAAATATTGAACTTTTTGCGGTTTCCAAAGGGATAGAAGAGACAAAGGGATTCATTTTTTTCTCCATTTTTGTAGGTTTTTAAATTAAAATATTAAGTCTCATCAGCATTCACAATTAAAATGGAGATCTCTCCAGCAGCATTCCTGTAGCATTCCGAATTGTCATATGAAATGTAAAATATGGTGTATATTAATCGTTATCAATCTGATAATCTTCAGTATGTTTTTGTATTATGACGGAGAGTTTATTTTTCGCTTCCACGTCCATAAACATTTAATTTGTCCTACCTGCTTCCTCTCAACTGTGTACCAATTGCGAGAGTAATATAATCCACTTCCTTGCGACTATACAGAAAAGGGCACACTTGAAGTATAACAAATATGAAGTGATTTTCTTAGAGTCCTAAAATATAGGACCAAATCCATACCTTTGCAGTTGATGCCATCGCCAAAGATGTTGAGTAGAATTCATCGTGACAGGAACCATTGAGTGTCAGGTTCTTCAGATGAGGCATCCTACAAATGAACTGAGCCAAATCACGTGATACATTGGGACGTTTACTGAGCTCACCAGAGCCGATGTCCAGAGTTTCAATCTGTTGTAATAATACGACATGATGTTGGATAAACAATTGCTGACATTAATATACTGAAGTATATCTAACATTACATGATGATACAGTCGCCAACCTCATTCACTTACAAAAGCAATACGTTACATTTACAATCTATTTGCTAGAGATATTACTTTGAAAATCTTTATTTCATAATAACGTAACACAAATGTGTGAAAACAGACTCAGAATATTTGGCAGTTTCCAATGGAAAACATAATCACAACAACGGGAACAAAATGATTCGATTTGTCATTGTGTAGGTTTTAAATTCATATATTTTGTATCATGAGCAATTCTTAATTAAAATAGCCGTCACTCCATCAGCACTTCCATAGGGGGTGGGGGCGGTCTACATATTGAGTGTCCAAAGTCCCAATCTGATATAATTGTAGTATTTTGTTGGAAAAACAAATGCTGACATTACTCGACTTGAATATGTTTTTACACTTTACATCTTGATACAGTTGCCATCATCATTCATTCACAAAGCAAAACGTCATTCTGAAATTTGATTGCAAAAGTACTTTGACAATCTGATTTTACATAACATAAAAGTGTGAAAACAAATAAATATTGAACTTTTTGCGGTTTCCAAAGGGATAGAAGAGACAAAGGGATTCATTTTTTTTTCCATTTTTGGAGGTTTTTAAATTAAAATATTAAGTCTCATCAGCATTCACAATTAAAATGGACGTCTCTCCAGCAGCATTCCTGTAGCATTCCGAATTGTCATATGAAATGTAAAATATGGTATATGTTAATCGTTATCAATCTGATAATCTTCAGTATGTTTTTGTATTATGACGGAGAGTTTATTTTTCGCTTCCACGTCCATAAACATTTAATTTGTCCTACCTGCTTCCTCTCAACTGTGTACCAATTGCGAGAGTAATATAATCCACTTCCTTGCGACTATACAGAAAAGGGCACACTTGAAGTATAACAAATATGAAATGATTTTCTTAGAGTCCTAAAATATAGGACCAAATCCATACCTTTGCAGTTGATGCCATCGCCAAAGATGTTGAGTAGAATTCATCGTGACAGGAACCATTGAGTGTCAGGTTCTTCAGATGAGGCATCCTACAAATGAACTGAGCCAAATCACGTGATACATTGGGACGTTTACTGAGATCACCAGAGCCGATTTCCAGAGTTTCAATCTGTTGTAATAATACGACATGATGTTGGATAAACAATTGCTGACATTAATATACTGAAGTATATCTAACATTACATGATGATACAGTCGCCAACCTCATTCATTTACAAAAGCAATACGTTACATTTACAATCTATTTGCTAGAGATATTACTTTGAAAATCTTTATTTCATAATAACGTAACACAAATGTGTGAAAACAGACTCAGAATATTTGGCAGTTTCCAATGGAAAACATAATCACGACAACCGGAACAAAATGATTCGATTTGTCATTTTGTAGGTTTTAAATTCATATATTTTGTATCATGAGTAATTCTTAATTAAAATAGCCGTCACTCCATCAGCACTTCCATAGGGGGTGGGGGCGGTCTACATATTGAGTGTCCAAAGTCCCAATCTGATATAATTGTAGTATTTTGTTGGAAAAACAATTGCTGACATTACTCGACTTGAACATGTTTTTACACTTTACATCTTGATACAGTTGCCATCATCATTCATTCACAAAGCAAAACGTCATTCTGAAATTTGATTGCAAAAGTACTTTGACAATCTGATTTTACATAACATAAAAGTGTGAAAACAAATAAATATTGAACTTTTTGCGGTTTCCAAAGGGATAGAAGAGACAAAGGGATTACATTTTTTTCTTCATTTTTGTAGGTTTTTAAATTAAAATATTAAGTCTCATCAGCATTCACAATTAAAATGGACGTCTCTCCAGCAGCATTCCTGTAGCATTCCGAATTGTCATATGAAATGTAAAATATGGTATATGTTAATCGTTATCAATCTGATAATCTTCAGTATGTTTTTGTATTATGACGGAGAGTTTATTTTTCGCTTCCACGTCCATAAACATTTAATTTGTCCTACCTGCTTCCTCTCAACTGTGTACCAATTGCGAGAGTAATATAATCCACTTCCTTGCGACTATACAGAAAAGGGCACACTTGAAGTATAACAAATATGAAGTGATTTTCTTAGAGTCCTAAAATATAGGACCAAATCCATACCTTTGCAGTTGATGCCATCGCCAAAGATGTTGAGTAGAATTCATCGTGACAGGAACCATTGAGTGTCAGGTTCTTCAGATGAGGCATCCTACAAATGAACTGAGCCAAATCACGTGATACATTGGGACGTTTACTGAGATCACCAGAGCCGATGTCCAGAGTTTCAATCTGTTGTAATAATACGACATGATGTTGGATAAACAATTGCTGACATTAATATACTGAAGTATATCTAACATTACATGATGATACAGTCGCCAACCTCATTCATTTACAAAAGCAATACGTTACATTTACAATCTATTTGCTAGAGATATTACTTTGAAAATCTTTATTTCATAATAACGTAACACAAATGTGTGAAAACAGACTCAGAATATTTGGCAGTTTCCAATGGAAAACATAATCACAACAACCGGAACAAAATGATTCGATTTGTCATTTTGTAGGTTTTAAATTCATATATTTTGTATCATGAGCAATTCTTAATTAAAATAGCCGTCACTCCATCAGCAATTCCATAGGGGGTGGGGGCGGTCTACATATTGAGTGTCCAAAGTCCCAATCTGATATAATTGTATTATTTTGTTGGAAAAACGATTACTGACATTACTCGACTTGAACATGTTTTTACACTTTACATCTTGATACAGTTGCCATCATCATTCATTCACAAAGCAAAACGTCATTCTGAAATTTGATTCCAAAAGTACTTTGAAAATCTGATTTTACGTAACATAAAAGTGTGAAAACAAATAAATATTGAACTTTTTGCGGTTCCAAAGGGATAGAAGAGACAAAGGGATTCAATTTTTTTTTATTTTTGTAGGTTTTTAAATTAAAATATTAAGTCTCATCAGCATTCACAATTAAAATGGACATCTCTCCAGCAGCATTCCCGTAGCATTCCGAATTGTCATATGAAATGTAAAATATGGTATATGTTAATTGTTATCAATCTGATAATCTTCAGTATGTTTTTGTATTATGACGGAGAGTTTATTTTTCGCTTCCTCGTCCAAAACATTTAATTTGTCTTACCTGCTTCCTCTCAACTGTGTACCAATTGCAAGAGTAAAATAATCCACTTCCTTGCGACTATACAGAAAAGGGCACACTTGAAGTATAACAAATATGAAGTGATTTTCTTAAATCCTAAAATATAGGACCAAATCAATACCTTTGCAGTTGATGCCATCGCCGATGATGTTGAGTAGAAGTCTTCGTGATACTGACCGCGGAGTGTCAGGTTCATCAGACGAGGCATCTTACAGATGAACTGAGCGAGATTACTTGATGCATCGGTACATTTCCTGAGATCACCAGAGCGGATGTCCAGAGTCTCAATCTGTTGTTATAATACGACATGATGTTGGATAAACAATTGCTGACATTAATATACTGAAGAATATCTAACATTACATGATGATACAGTCGCCAACCTCATTCACTTACAAAAGCAATACGTTACATTTACAATCTATTTGCTAGAGATATTACTTTGAAAATCTTTATTTCATAATAACGTAACACAAATGTGTGAAAACAGACTCAGAATATTTGGCAGTTTCCAATGGAAAACACAATCACAACAACGGGAACGAAATGTTTCGATTTGTCATTTTGTAGGTTTTAAATTCATATATTTTGTATCATGAGCACTTCTTAATAAATAGCCGTCACTCCATCAGCACTTCCATGGGGGGGGGGGGGGAGTCCACATATTGAGCGTCCAAAATCCGAATCTCATATAATTGTAGCATTATGTTGGATAAACAATTGCTGACATTACTCGACTTGAACATGTTTTTAAACTTTACATCTTGATACAGTCACCATCCTCATTCATTTATAATGCAAAAGGTTATTTTGAAATTTGATTGAAATAGTATTTTAAAAATGTGATTTTACATAACATAAAAGTGTGAAAACAAATAAACATGGAACACTTTGCGGTTTTCAAAGGAATAGGAAAAGATGAAGGGATTCGATTGTTCATTTTTATAGGTTAAGTTAAAATTGAAAAAATGTATTCTCATCGGCATTCATAATTTAAATGGACGTCTCTCCATCAGCATTCCCGTCGCATTCCGTATTGCCATATGGAATTAAGAATATGTTATATTATAGAGAAATCGACTGCTACGAGAGGACTGGCTGTTTCCATACGCTCAAGGGAAATTTGCCTCCGCTGCTACACCCCGAGGCGCGCCTTTTTGTTTAGTATGCACACAAATTGGTCGTTGGAAAACGAACATTTTAATATCAACAATTATGAAGGAATTATGAAGAATTATCCACGGAGCGACGAAGCGTTCATCATTAGTTTTATGCTTTTCATCTACAAAATCTTTCACATGAGATATCTTGGAATGTAGAATTTACAACTTTAAGACGTGATTTTCCATTATTGATAAAAATAGGAAATCAAAATAATCTTCCAAAGATTGATCCGGAAGAAATAAAATTGGACACTTGCTAATATCAATTCGAAAAAAAAATCATGAATAAATAAATTTATAGGCGATCACAATATAGAAGAAGCGTAATTTATATTTGTAGAAAATTTGAATAACACAATGATACGTCCAGGAAAGAGGAAATCAACACAAAGACAAATTCCTTATTCTTGTTGAAACAAGGAATGTTTACCAAGTATACAAGAAAGCAATTACTTAAGATATTTAGCAGAGAAAAGAAAAACTGAATAATACGTAGAAGATTACTTGAAAAAGAAAGCAAAAGCACGAAAGACAAGCCAAACGAGACTATCTGATCACCTTATGTAAGGAAATGACTCGTTCCACATCAATGAGAGAAATTGGAAATACGATACGTAAAATAGTAAAAATAATAAATAAGTAAAACATTAAATCGATAATATATGAAGATAAAGAAAAAATTAACTCCTCAAGACAATGATTTATTCCTAATAGATCTAAATAATAGTATACATTCTCAGATTTTATTGAATACAAATTTGCGAGTGTTTGTTTTGCGAGACTGCTAAAGCATGTGTGTGCTACTATGCTAATCAACTAGGGGACCTACGTCCTTAAGTCATAACTGACAGTAATGATGATTAATGCCTCACAAAAGGGCACTTATATAGCTGATCGACACGGTTTTTATTCTGGAGCCTCACAATAACGAGGCCTTTGCTTAGCCACTAAATCATGACTGTACGCAGCGGGGCTAGGGTTCGTCGCCGCCCCCACAAATACACAAAACAAAGAAAATGCAATAAATCATCAATAATTCATTGCATTTTCCCTCGGTCCCCAACAAGATACATTCCTCTGTAGGGCAATGCATTATGGTTCAAGGCATGCCCACATAGAGGATTTTTGTATGTTGGGGACCGGGACAAAATGCAATGAATTATTGATAGGTTATTGCATTTTTTTTTGTTTTTTGTATTTGTGGTGGCGGCGACGTACCCTAGCCCCCGCTGCGTATAGTCATGTTTCAGAAGCTAAGCAATGGCCTCGTTACTGTGAGCCCCCAGGATTAAAACCGTGTCGATGTGCTATATAAGTGCCTTTTTATCAGGCATTAATCTTCATTACTGTCAGTTATGACTTCAGGACGTAGGTCCCCTAGTTGATTATCATAGTAGCACACACATGCTTTAGCAGTCTCGCAAAACAAACACTAACACATTATTTTTCAATAAAATCTGAGAGAGTATACTATTACCTAGCTCTATGAGGAATAACCCATTGTCAAAATCATTCCATAACTTAGGGTTAAAATAATAATTCCACCATAATAACCAACAGTGTACTAGGGAAAAATTGGGTCATCATTCAATTCAATTCAATTCAATTTTATTTCGCAATATAAAAATCAAAATATACAAAGTAACGGTAAATTTTAACTATCATGAACTATCATTAACTATCATGATCAGAGCGAGCAAAGATGAAGATTTTTGGGGGGTGGAAACCCACTAGCTTAAACAGAAGTACTATATAAATAGTTTAATGGAGTATTTTTCTTTTTTTGTGTACTTAAATAAAGGATAAAGTCTGAAATTGAAATTTATTTTTCTAAAAACAAACCTCTATTTTCCAGTATTCTCCTAATTTAATCTTATGACACCGGACAAATTATTATCCTGACTGAATATGGCATCCATTTCTTTTAAAAGTAAGATGTACCAAATATACCAGAACGTGGATAATACACATGTATACTGACCTTGGAATCGACTGCTTTATTCACAAGCACCGAGTAGAAGACATCATGCATAGTACGACTGATCGTCACAGATCTCAGTGTACGTGATGAGCACATGTATTCAGCCAGGTCCTCTGAAGCCGTCCGTCCACATGTCTTCTCAATAGTCAGATGATCCTACAATGTACATGAACACAAATAATATTGTGAGGCTAGAAACGTAAATCATAAAAATAATACCATATTATCCTTATTAGTCACCTTAATAGAAACTGATTTTGTTTATATGTTTTTTTTCCTTCCATTTCCCTTTGGTTTTTATTCTGCTTTCAAAAATCTATATTTCACGAAGAACATCACATAACTTTAAAATAACACTTTGCATTTGAAAGGAATTATTCTGATCCTACCAAATGTAAACTTTACTGAGTTCTGTACGTTATCTCATAATAATTCAAGTTGGCTTTTTATCCTACTGGTTTGAACAGTATGCACGTGCAAATCCTATTGGAGTTCGTGATATTAAAAGTGTTATATTATTAAACAAGATTTCATTGCAAATACACACAAGATCGGTTGTGCTACAATAACAATAAATCGCAACTCCTATTAAAAGACTTAAATCCTAATACTTATTAACTCTTGTAGATAATAATAGTGAAACAAAATTCGTGTACATTGCAATTTTCAGATAAAAAATGATAATCAGAGTTGCACCCACACTAGATCCATAGAACATGCATCAAGAAAATTGATTGTATCAAGCTTCTTTTCAACATTTGGGTGAATAGAAGTTTATACAGAACGCGTTGCGCATCGTTAGTATACAGGGTATATGTATACAGTTAAGTGTTCAAACCAAACGACGTTATCCTAAGTCTAAGTTGCAAAAATTCGACGTTTCTTTCCTTACCACTTCACGATGATTCATGATGAAGATATGCCCTGATACTGTGTGTGCCTGCATCTCCTCAATGATCTTCAGTGTCTTGCTGGACTCAGAAGAGAGATGATCCGCCACTGCTTTGGCCACTGTTTGGTCTTGGCTCTCGTATGCTACATCTACGACGACGACGAAGTCATCATCATGTCTACGCTTTTTTTTTCCTGCTGTGAGATGTGATACGATATCCAATCCGATCTCCTTCTGCTGGGCCGAGGTGAAGTACAGGAGGTAGCGGTATTCTCTTGCTTCAGTTATGATTTTCGCCACCAACCCGTCATACTCATTACGGTTTGAGTTGTAAAGAGATGCAAGATAAATTCCTGATAGATATTCCTGGAAGAGCTTATGAGGGAACTGCACCGATTGAACTGCTAAATTTGGATTAGTTCTTCTGTCTCGCCTCGGAAGAACTTTCGTTTCTCTGGTGAGCGCACCAACTTTGCAACCTACATCTATAGACTCTGGACAGCTTTGAAACTCTTCTTCTGTGAATACCAACCGTCTTTCCAGAAGACCCTGGAAGGCAACGCGGCCAATCTGAAGTAGGTGATGACGAATATCTGAACGATGTTCCCTTAATTTGCCTTCAACAATACCTGAAGATGGAATGTGCTTCGATAGGTAATGATCAACCAAAAAGTGGATCATCTCATCAAATAGCTGGGAGAATGTTTGCAGCTTGGACATTGCCTCTCGGCGCTCTCCATCAAATTCTTTCCACATTATGCACAGCATGGCTGTGTATATGGGATAGGGGGCCATGTTCTCTCTGATCACATCGTTGTTTGATATGAATAGGTTTAGATCTTCAGAGGAAGCTGTGTCTGGATGAAAGAACTTGGTGATGTAGGAAGAGAGGTTTTCAACAGAGAAACCTTCCACAGCAATGAAAGCAAACACCTTTCTGAGATTGGCATTCTTCCTAATCTCATCTGATCTCCATTGTCGCGATGTTATTAGTACTGTCCCTGAATTGAACAGACGATTGGAAGTGATGCGGGCGACTTGCTGATTGCTGTTAAGATCGACAGTAGACTCATCTAGGCCGTCCAGGACAAGAAAGACTTCATCCGAATTTGAGAGGATGTGCTTGTCTAGCTGCTTGGCTGTGACCGGATTGTTGTCAGAAAGATACGTCTTCACTATCTCTCCCACAGTCTTGTCCTCTGCTTCGCGAAGGAGGACGACAAGAACCAGTTTGAAATCTTGATATCCTTTTCCGTGGATCCAGTCCCAAGCGATCTTGGCGCAGAAAGTGGTTTTCCCTACACCACCTTCACCTTCAACCAACAAGCGTTTAGGATAGTTCCCGTTAACTTTCGTCTTGAGGAGGTCATCGTATAGAAGCGGTGTTTTGTGCTTGGTACCTTTGTCTTCTTCCATCAACGTTAGATTGGTGAAGATCTGTTCTAATTTAACGGTAAGCTCGGTGTTCAGTGGATTAGCTTGAATCTGACAAAGATTAATGTCATAATAGCGTTTGACCTCTTCAGCAACCCGTTGGATTTCCTCCTCTGTCATTGAGGGTATGTGATCACCGACTTGACCTGTGATAGGATGGTAAAGAACGTTGTTTCTAAAGTTACTAGACAAAAACGTTGTGTTTAAAGATAAAACAAATAACAAAAGAGCAGTCCTCCCCAAAAATACATTAACCATAAATCACAGAAATGTTATATCAATACGTAAATTCCCAAATCTCAATTTAAATTTGCTTGTGGATCATGATCAATCGCTGAGAAATCATTTATTTCCTAGATAGGGGCTTTCACATTGATTACTGGATTGACATCGTGCCCTGATGTCACTGCCACAGGGAAGGGTTACTCGGGTCGATACTAAGATGTCAGGCCTTTCTGGTTATCTGGTCGGGTTTTATACAATATTCAATTGAGCAAAGCTTGCGGTAAACGTCATATTAAATATGCATGATCGTGTGTATTTTATACTAAAGAAGATAAAAACGATTTCTAGTTTCAAAAGCTATGCTCCTGGATTATTATTCGTTTAATCCATGAACTAATGAAATGCATCTATCATAAACACGTTCTATTTTCCTGTTTTCTAGACGGAGATTCCTCTATTGTAACTGTTTATCCATATGGATGAATATGAAAATCGAAGGCATTTGGTCCCAAACGTTACCGCGTATTTTGGAATTTCCTTACTTATTTAGTAAGATCCAAACTCTAGTGGGGCTACTAACGTGATACATTTCTCTAAGAAATTATATTTAGGTCAGTGATGCATGAAAGAAATTATTCTGAATTGCCCTCCCCCCCCCCATTCTCTCCTTCTGTACCCCTCTCTCTCCCTATATACAAATGTATATATCCAACAAAAGTGAGGACACCCTTAGGGTAAATATTAAATATTCCAATATTCCAAGACTCCTCACTTTGTTGCAATGTTTTAATGGAATACGCAGTGGTACTGATAAATTTAGCATATAGGGCTAAATAATAGAGGTTCTTGTATATCGCTCATGTCTAACTTGACACGCTCGACAATAATTACATCGTATTTAACATGGCTGCCATGATGGTGCTCTAGCATTTCAAGGAATTAATTCCTGCCCGCGATACCCATTCATCCCACCCTGGTGAATGTACTTAGGAAATTAAGGCCGTGGTGGGACTCGAACAGTCCGTTGACTGATCCGCTATACCGCTCATCTTATTCTTTACAGTTGCTATAATGGCAACCTTGCTATTTAAGAGCCGGGATCATAAATTGTGAGTTGGGGCTTCCTGATGACTATTGTATTTTCCGTAATGACAGAGCAAACACAAGAGGTGGAGGTGTTCTTATCTCGGTTCGATCATATCTCCTCCCGCAACGTCTACCGGATCTTGAGACACCTGATATTGAGATGGTCATTTGTGAAATAACTCTAAAGAAGAAAATGAAATGGATTGTTTGCTCAGTGTACAGATCTCCCAATTCAAAGGCTGAGTTCTTTGATAAACTAGAAACAGTAGTCGATAGTGTGCAAAATTTGAGTAGAAAATATCAAGGTATAGTCTTCGTCGGAGACTTTAATGTGAATTGGAAAGATGAAAACTGTAGAAATAGGGATAGACTTCTTCAGATATTTGAAACAATGAATATGACCCAGTGTGTTACTGATGTAACTAGGCCACAACTTGATGACCCAAGTAAAGGCTCAATTATTGATCTTGTTTTTGTGAACAGTCCTGAGCTCTGTCAAAGTATTAATGTTACTTCAAATTGTGTAATTAGTGATCACCATGCAGTATTGATCACATTCCATACTGTTACACCTCAATTACCCAAATCAATCATACGGAAGTTCTTGTGCTACCAAAAGGGGGACTATGAGCATCTTAACAATCTCCTTAGGCTTGCTCCCTGGGACCTATTCATGAATCAAAATGATGTAGATGAAAGCTGGGAAGGATTTTGGATTTGTATCAAGCCGCTATCAATGACTGTATACCGCATAAAGTTCAGAATAAGAAACAATTCTGTCCATGGGTAACCCCGCAAATAAAACGGCTAACTAATAAGGCTAAGAAGCTTTTTGTTTCAGCCAAATCTCATTTTGAAGACGAGGAAGACGTAAGGAATGAATGGTGGGACAAGTACAAAAGAGCTCGCAATCATGCCAAGCAAAAATCTAACAAGTCTTATTGGCGTTATTTGAATGGTCTTTTCTGTATGCATGATAACAGGAAGCGATTCTTTGGATATATGCGCTCTCTGAGACGCAACCCAACTCCACCTATAATTTCTGATCAAGATAATGTACTGAACAAGCCCGAGGAGATTGCTAATTGTTTTTCTGATTATTTTGTTTCAGTTTTTAATCAATCTGACCCTGATAATGTTCCTGAATTGCCCAGTGCTTGTGACTTTCCTATTGCTCCATTGAATACCCTTGATTTCCCTACATGTGAAATTGTGAAGCTCATTGATAACTTGTCATTGAATAAATCACCCGGAATTGATGGGATTACGGCTGTTTTCCTCAAAAAAGTGAAAGAGCCCATATCCATAGTATTACAACGCATGTTCCAAATTTCACTTTCACTAGGTCAACTACCCAAACAATGGAAACAATCGATTGTCATTCCTGTTCATAAATCTGGCAATCCCTCTGATTTTCGCAATTATCGCCCAGTTGCGCTCACTTCTGTTGTTTGCAAAATGATGGAAACCTTTGTTGACAAATGTATTGTAGCACATGTTGAGACATATGGTCTACTTTCCCCCAAACAACACGGATTCACACCCAAACGATCATGTGCTACACAAGTACTCAACATCACACATGACTGGTTTTCGTCCCTTGATGTAACACCCACCCCTCTAATTGATGCTATTTTCTTGGATTTTAGCAAAGCCTTTGATCGCATGCCCCATGATCTTCTCCTCAATAAATTAGCTAAGAAATATAACATTCAAAGTAATGTCTGGGAATGGGTTAGTTTTTTTGTTTGTGGGAGGGAACAAACTGTCCAGTTCCGAGGATCACGGTCTGATTGGTCAATAGTGACCTCGGGAATACCTCAGGGAGGTGTATTAGGACCACGGCTATTCAATTTGTTCGTTAATGATATCACCCATGTAGTCCAATCGGAATGTGTGCTTTTTGCTGACGACACGCTTCTGTACCGCATAATTAGAAGTGAGACTGATATGCAAATGCTCCAAGCAGACATTACTCATGTCATAAACTGGTGCAGCATTAACAAAATGCAACTTAATGCTACGAAAACCAAAGTTCTCAGAATTGCCCCTCGTAAGAGAAATGTCGAAAAGACAAAGTACACCATTGATGATAACACAATTGAACAAGTGAATTCAATCAAGTACCTTGGAATTACCCTCAATTCCAGCCTGACATGGGATGACCAAGTTAATAATGTAATTAAGAAGGCAAACAGAATGCTTGGTCTCATTTCTAGGTTGGGTAGGGGCGTGTCCCAGCAGGCATTGTTATGTTTGTACAAATCACTCGTGTTGCCTATCTTGGAATATGGAGTTCCATCCTGGTATGTTTACACAAGAAAACATGTGGAAGCCTTGGAACGAGTTCAGAGGAGGGCAACACGACTGATTTTGAAACAAAGGCGTCAAGAAATGCCTTATCCACAACGTCTCCAAAACCTTGCATGGTTTACCCTGGAATCAAGAAGGAAATATCTCTTGATTTCCTTCGTAATTAAAAGTCTCTACGGTATCGTGTGGTGTGAAGCAGTGAATGAGAATGTAGCCATAAGACCACGCCAGAGTGAACATACCATTTTATTCCAACACCTCAGGGCAAGAACCGAACGTCTTCACCAAACTGCAGTTCACAGATTTCCCATTATTTGGGAGAGTCTTCCCTCACATGTCAAAGACGAAATTGTTTCTGGAAATATTTCAAAGCTTCTCACTCTTCTTCGTCAGGAAATTTTCTCTGTTCTTTAAATTCCATTACAATCTTTTCTATACCACCTAACAGGTGACATGATTTTGTTTAGTATACCCATCTGGCATTACTTTCACTTTCATTAGGTCATTCGGTTCTTGCCCTTGCCCTTGCCCTTACTCTATGTTATTATTGCAACTCATAATTTTATTTGTATAATTGCAAGGATATTCTTGATCTTGACATTCTTGATGTCATCTGGCATTACTTTCTTTAATTTCTTTTTCACTTGGTCATTCGATTCTGGTCTATGTCATACTCTGAACATGTAATTAATTTAACTCATAATTTTTATTTGTATAAATATAAGAATATTCTTGATCTCAATTATTATAGTCTCACTATGTATTTGTCTCCACGACTATTTAAGAATCATTGTCTAATAGTTGTTTTTTAATTAATTAATAATGAAATCCGACTCTTTTTACGAATTAATTGAATTACTTAGTACAGTCAATGGCAGACAAATTAGATCATAATTATTGGTAAGTTTTGTCAATCTGTTTATAATTCAATCATATATTTGAATTATTATACATGTTTAAATGATCAGTTTGAATGTTATATTGCTTGAGACATTCATGTTACATTTATTACACCAAGTGTGTTGCCAGTTTCCAGTTATACACTGTTAATTTATATAATATGTTTTCTTTGGATTTTCTTATCCTGACCTGGATGGAGTTGAAGGGGTGTGGGAAGGAAGACCTGTGGGTCATGGTAATTTAGTTAACCTTTTCCAAACCCAGGCAGCCCCATCATCTCTGATTCAGGTCCTTTCTTTATCATGCATATATATATGTTCCTGTAATTGCTGTAATTTGCATATTACTCTGTATTGTTCTTGTATTTTGAAATGCCGAATAAATAATAATAATAATAATAATAATAATAATAACATGAGCGCTTTACAATCATGAACCCACTATCATCATTATTACCTGTTCGTACACAATCAGCAAGCTGTACCAGCTTAATGCTTTCTAACGTGTCGACCAATGTCTTCCTCGCCTCGCTTTCACGTACTGTCTTCCGCCATTCGCAAAGCATCTGATAGGTAGCTAGCATGGAGTTGCCCAGCTTGTCTTTCTCAAACTGACTTAGTTTAGCCTCAGTGAATCCTAATGCTAGTCCGACCTTCCTAAAATCTGAGGGATCCATACCTTCGGCAAGGAGATAGAGCTGGAGCTCGGTCAGACTGCCAGGGCTAAATTATAGACATAAGAAGAATGATTAATTTCTGATAGCACTTATAGATATTGGCGAGATTTGGTATAAAAAACATTTTTATTTTGCTCCTTTGACTTGAAAATACAGTGTTTTACTGTATCAAATTAAAATATTTTACAGAATCGGGTAAAAATTTGCCTAATAGAGTTGTCAGTTATTAAACATAATCGTAAACTCGGATTCAGGTTCAGTAGAATATAAAACAATGGATTTTAATCTTCCAAAGATGCTCTTTCATGCTGCTTACTTATTATTTGGACCAGGGTTTCGTTCTACGTCACCGGATCTCAATAAGAGTATGTTGGTCATGTCTGAACAGTCATTTCCTTTGATTGTATCTGCTTCACCGCTGGTTGTCCCTGATACGGGGATCGGATAATTCGGTGATACGTGATTCTCTGTTACTTCCTAAGAACGAAGATAAAATTACGAATAGAAGACACACTTTGAACTCTGTAAACAATAAACAAGCCATACTGAGATAATATCCTAGTGCCGCATTGTATTTCTGGCGGTTTCTTTAATCAATGGTTTCTAGTTTATTTTAACATTTCTAATATTATTATACAACAAATAGCACTGACAGGTGATGAAGGATGACTGTTCACGTATTTATTGGACAAGATGATTCATGATATTCCGTTGATTCCTTAATGAAATTGATGAAAAGAAATCGATTTTCAAAATAATAATCAGACGTTATTTGTCAAAATACATTTAGAATCACGTAAGAATAAGTATTCTGTGAAAGGGTAAAGGACACTTTTACCTTTGATTATAGTGCAACTAACGTTAAATCAAAATAATCCATAGCAAATTGAAACAATCAAACTGTCTTTTATAAAACATCTTGTGCAGCTCCGATTTTTTAAGTTACCGTGTCCTATTAAAAAACAATTATGAAAGAATTGTATACATTTGAAAAAAATTATTTATATATATATTTTTTTTCTTCGTCTGTCTCATTTTTGTAACAATGGGATAGGGTTGCCCTGGAAAATACATACCCTGACAGATGGTGTTGATTGCTCGTTGTTTCTCGTTGTATCTTGCCTTGGTTTAGGTGGCAAGCCCGATGATAGGTCCTCTATCCCCGACGGTGCAGAGCTTGATGTCTCCTCCACGTCTGTTTGGATACGATCTGTTTCACCCGCGATGGCTACAGGTACATCTGAGTACGATTCTGATGTGACAACTTCAGGTGGTGCTATTATTTGAACGGGATTAGGGGGGTATTCATGTGACACTAGATTAATGGTTATGTATCTATTGTCCAATTCGTCTTCTACACAGGGTCGGGGAACTGGGATCTGAATGTCAGTGTTATCGTGGACAGGGTTGGTCTCATTTGCTGTTGGAGAACCACTGTTTTCAGCACACGAAGACTCAGAGTGAGAGACATCGCTATGACCGGGTCTTTTTACATCACATGGGAATCCTCTCTCCGTTACAGTATCAAACTCTGGACCGTCACATGGTGACCGAGTCTGACAATTAGCATTACATCTGCTAATGCTGACGTCACATGAATGCCCGGTTTGAGCGTTATTCAGGTTGACATTGTAAGGAGACGCAGGTCGACAGGCTGTGTTCCCTTGAGAACTATTCGCATCAGGTGAAGAGCCAGTACGAGATGAGATGTTACACTCAGGATTGTCGTTTTCTTTGGGTGGCTCCGCATTCTTGCTTTTTTTAATTAAGTTGTGAAGTTTGCTCCAAAAGTAGTTGTAGTCATATTCTTTCCTCCGACGGCGCATGAACGTGCCGATCCTGACACGCCATTCACCAAGAGACACAGGCATGGTGACATAAGGATACTGTGTTGTTAAAGAGAAACAAATATCAATGCTGGGTAAATTCATGAAACAGTCAATATGACTTTGTATACCAAAATAGTATCTAATTTGCTAACGGATTTATCTTAACATGCCATGTAGGAAAAATGTATTCGTTTTAGATTACATAATTATTTCATCTCTAAAAGAACGTATAATGCATGGTGCTTGATTGCAAATTTGCACCGCTTTTTATATTCTAGAAGATGTTGGTACAATTTACCTCGAGGGAGCAAACCTAGACAAAATCCACCGTAAAAACTACCTTTGAAGAGGTCCTTTATGCCTAGGTCATATTTGCTCTACGGCTAGGATACGGCTGCCCTACGCCTCCGAAATTGAGAGATACTTGCAGCGGCCGCAAAGAATCTGCGGCGTCCTCAGGGTCACCCTAGGGCTTATCCCTATCTCTACAGACCGGACGGGTCGCCGTGGGAGTTATAACTGTTTTCATTTCAAGGTTCACCGTAGCGATTAGACGCGCCGTAGCGATTAGACGCGTAGAGCGGTTCCACGGCGACCGTACGTCGAGCGTACGGTAGCCTTACGTTTAATATACTCCAGGGGTGGAGCGGTAGCATTAGTCTGGCGGCATGGTCGCCGTATGGTCCCCCTTAGGCCACCTTGTGGGCCCATTGCGGCTACCTTGCGTCTACCTTAGTATTTGTCGACAAAGCTGCGGCCGCCGCAGGGACGCCTTAAGGCGACCATGCGTGATCACTTCAAAGGCCGTACGGCAGTCGCAGATTCAAATTCAAGATACGCCATTCGGCTACCCTAACAATGTGACCGCTACCGTATGTGACCGTGGGAGAGCTGCGGCGGTCCTATTATTGCTATTGGCCGTATATAATTAAGACCGCACGGCTGCCGCGGCAAATTTGACCTAGGCATTAGCAATAGAGTTTTTTTCTTTTCTTCTACGAGTTGGTTGTTCGCGTTCATAGTTGTATCATTCGTTAAATATGCGGAATGTGAATCCAGGGAAAGCTTTTGAAAGTGTGGCGCTAACAAATTGAAATCATAATACCGAACGTAAACAAAGAAGCGTCAAAGGTGACCATTAGTTGTAACGCTTTGAGTCATGGCAAAATAAGGTTACATGAAAAGATTGTGTATGTTTTGCATCTTTCTCTCTCTCTCTCTCTCTCCTCTCTCTTGTTCTGTTTCCCTTCCCCTCTCCTTTGTTCTGCCCGCTCTCCTTCTCTTGCTCTGTCTCTGCACACACACATATATATATATATATATATATACTCGTTCACCCTCTCCCTCTCTCCGTCTCCCTATCCCTCTATTGCTCTCCCTCCCTTCTTCTTCTCCTGCTCTACTCCCCTGTCTCGGCCTATCTCTCTTGATCTCGCTTCATTATCATTTCATTCACGTCTCATAGTACTCGTTCACGCTCGTTTCATGACCGTTTAATCGATTTTTCTTTCATTTCCGCGTTTACGACGTAATAATTGTCCACACCTCCATCAAAACGACCCAGATCACTTCTTACAATGTAAAGTTTGCTGTTCTTACCTTCGTTTTTTGAAGGTCGGAAGAAAGTTCACCCCTCGATTGGCTGTTCTTTGATGTTTAAACTTCGCTTAAAGAAGAAATATTTGACAATGTACTGGTGATTTGTGCAAATCAAAATGGCGTCTAAATAATTACCATCCAAACTAAACCGAACCTTACACCACGAATGCCTTTACAAAGCCAACGACACTTTTAACGCATGCTTGCGTATCGTGCAAAAAGGCAAATAGAGTGACAAAATATGAACCATTGTTAACTGCATGATACAGATTTATGGGCAAAAGATAAGCCCCGCTGCACTTTGTAAATAGATCGACATGGAATGGGTGAATAATATTTCAGCATTACACATTAGGAATATATTGGCTTCATTCACAAGGCAAGTCAAAGCGAAGAGGGGTGTATGTGGGTGTGTGTGTGTGCGTGCGTCGAGGGTAGGGGATGCGCCGTTGATTTTACGGGGGGAGGGGGGGGGGGAAGGATTGATTTCACGGATTTTTTTTTTAATCCCCTCCCACGCCCCCGCCACAGAATACTGTATTAGCATTTACTATTTCATAATAAGTATGCAAAACGTCATTGATGTGTGTGTATTGAGGCCGCGAGACTCACTGAATAGTATACTATCATTATAAGCGAAACGTAACATAATTGTCACATAAATGTCAATGTATTCTGCTCTTTGTGCTTTGTGAAGAGTTGTGTAAAACTTGGTGCTATTAAACGTAATTAAAACTGTTCATTTTCTCTCTTTCAAAACCACATTTTTTTTCATAATTAACACTCTCTCATTTATCATTAATATTGACTGAGAGGTAGACGTTGTAACAACGACCGCATTCTGGTGTATTTACAAAATGTTAGTCGTCCGGAATAAGTATGGATTCAATGATAACTGTTTAAAACTAAAATAATATTTGAAAGAGAAATAGTAAACAGAACAGCTAAAAAAGCCAGACCACAAATTGCCCGAGAAACTGTTAAAAGTAAAAGCACTTTAGATGAAAAGTAGCAAAATAGTTTATAGTTGAGAAAATATGTGATTTCTATTGATAACATTGTACGTCAATTATATTTGTTCTTAGAGCTTTATTTTGATGTTTGAATGTGAATACACACCTAATTAGTGGAACACACACACACACACACACACAAAAACTCTCTTATTTATCATTATAGTCTGGTGAGAGCCAGAAGGGTGTTAACTCTGTGTTAACGCCCTTCTGGTTCCAGACAGAATTACCGTACGTACTGTTTCTCTAGTAATTGACTCTCTCCTTCTCTCTCTCTCTCTCTCTCTCTCTCTCTATCTCTCTCTCTCATACACACACACACACACACACACACTCTAACTCTCTTAGCATATCTTTCTATCTTCAATTCGCATCTCTCTCTCTCTCTCTCTCTCTCACACACACACTCTAACTCTCTTAGCATATCTTTCTATCTTCAAATCGCATCTCTATCTCTCCCTCTCTCTCTCTCTCTCTCTCACACACACATTCTAACTCTCTTAGCATATCTTTCTATCTTCAAATCGCATCTCTATCTCTCTCTCTCTCTCTAACTCTTTCTCACTCTTTTTACACATCTTTCTCTATTAACACCGTCTGGTGAGAGCCAGGCACATATGTCTTCATTATTGACCCCCTTTCTCTTACTCTTTTTACACATCTTTCTCTATTAACACCGTCTGGTGAGAGCCAGGCACATATGTCTTTATTATTGACTCCCTCTCTCTCTCTTACTCTTTTTACACATCTTTCTCTATTAACACCGTCTGGTGAGAGCAAGGCACATAATTGTCTTTATTATTTAACCACTATCTTTTACTCTTTTTACACGTCTTTCTCTTTTCAAACTGTCTCCTCTCTCTCTCCTCCTATAGTCCCCTTTTCTTTATATCGCGTTCAACGAGATGCAGCCCCAGAAATCACACTAAAAAAGCCTGATTTTACACTGATTTTGTTGTTTGCTTGTTTATGTGTGTGCAAAGTTGCAGATGTGTACACGTATTGAATGAGTGTGTGTGTATGGGGCCGGGGGAGGGGTAGAAGACTATATATGGCCCGTCAAGTTATTCTAATCGTTAACTGTGGCCCGTAAACTTTAACAGATTGGCCACCTGCTCTCCTTCACTAGCTCTGGCTCTGCACATATATCTACTCTTTCACCCTCTCCCTCTCTCCGTCTCCCTATGATTATCTTGCTCTCCCTCCCTATTCTTCTAGCTGTAATCCCCTTTCTCTGCCTCTCTCTCTTGATTTCGCTTCATTATCATTTCATTTACGTCTCATACCCGTTATACGCTCGTTTCATGACCATTTAATCGATTTTTCTTTCACTTCCGCGTTTACGACGTAATAATTGTCCACACCTCCATCAAAACGACCCAGATCACTTCCTACAATTTAAAGTTTGCTGTTCTTACCTTCGTTTTTTGAAGGTCGGAAGAAAGTTCACCCCCTCGATTGGCTGTTCTTTGATGTTTAAACTTCGCTTAAAGAAGAAATATTTGACAATGTACTGGTGATTTGTGCAAATCAAAATGGCGTCTAAATAATTACCATCCAAACTAAACCGAACCTTACACCACGAATGCCTTTACAAAGCGAACGACACTTTTCACGCATGCTTGCGTATCGTGCAAAAAGGCAAATAGAGTGACAAAATATGAACCATTGTTAACTGCATGATGCAGATTTATGGGCAAAAGATAAGCCCCGCTGCACTTTGTAAATAGATCGACATGGAATGGGTGAATAATATTTCAGCATTACACATTAGGAATATATTGGCTTCATTCACAAGGCCAGTCAAAGCAAAAAGGGGTGTGTGTGTGTGTGTGTGTGTGTGTGTGTGTGCGTGCGTCGAGGGTAAGGGATGCGCCGTTGATTTTACGGGGGGGGGGGGAAGGATTGATTTCACGGATTTTTTTTTTAATCCCCTCCCACGCCCCCGCCACAGAATACTGTATTAGCATTTACTATTTCATAATTATGCAAAACGTCATTGATGTGTGTGTATTGAGGCCGCGAGACTCACTGAATAGTATACTATCATTATGAGCGAAACGTAACATAATTGTCACATAAATGTCAATGTATTCTGCTCTTTGTGCTTTGTGAAGAGTTGTGTAAAACTTGGTGCTATTAAACGTAATTAAAACTGTTCATTTTCTCTCTCTCAAAACCACATTTTCTTTCATTATTAACACTCTCTCATTTATCATTATTATTGACTGAAAGGTAGACGTTGGAACAACGGTTGCATTCTGGTGTATTTACAAAATGTTAGTCGTCCGGAATAAGTATGGATTCAATGATAACTGTTTAAAACTAAAATAATATTTGAAAGAGAAATAGTAAACAGAACAGCTAAAAAGCCAGTCCAAAAGTTGCTAGAGAAACTGTTAAAGGCACTTTAGATGAAAAGTATCAAAATATTGTATAGTTGAGAAAATATG